GAAAAAAGTTTGCTAAATGCATACTTTGTAGTCAGCATAAAAACACCATACATAATTTTCGCAAATAGCGTTGGCGCATCCGGATGATCATCTGCTGAAAGAACTGCAGTTTAATAGCATTACACTTCAATCGAATAGACCTTTTGGTGGAGAAAGAGATGGACAATAACCATTAATAAGCTTAGAAAACTACAGCTTTTTTAAAGGCTCAAAAACTATTATTGACAAAGTTTAAAAGAATTCAGCTTCCTAGCCTGTCTGGTTCCAGAGCTAAACAGTTGCAAATCAATTAAAAAACCAGCTGTTTAAGTTCACTTCATGTTTTAGGACACGCACATAATCTGAGATCTTGTGCACAGTTGATAAGAAAAGTCTTTGGAAAACTTCTTCAGATCGGATGATCACAGACAGTCAATGCATCAAAAACGAAGGTGATGCAACTGGTCTTCCGCCCACGGCCAAACTGCAAAACAGCGGCGCCCACCTGGGTGTCCCTTTCAAATTCCAATTTTCTAGCTTTTTTGATTCCCAAGTCAGCAACTTAACTACCAAAAATTTCCACCGGCCCGCACGTGGCAATCACGCACATCCTGGAGTTGGATTTGAACTCATCAGGAGCCACGCGGATGGGGAACATCCCTTTCGCCTTCTAGTTTTTCAGCTTCCCAAGTTAGCAACTTAGCCGCAAAAAATTTCTACGGGAAAAAGCAATAATCAGCTAAATCCAGCACTAATAGTTGCTAGAAAATATCTGTATGTGCACAGCAAAAAACTTACACACAGCGCACCTCCCAAAATCGCATCTATACATTTCTCGGGCCTTTATACGTGTGCTTTGCAGCAGCAGCACCTTGGCACGGTGCGAAAAATCACCTGCAATTTGGAAGTGTTAAAAACAGTAACGACGGAAAAAAAAAACGGAAAATAGAAAAACGCGTAGAAGTTGCAGTTGTAAAAAATTTCTTCGAAAAGCCTTTTTGTGTCGAAGATGACAGAAGGCAGTAGTGAAGTAAACGCATCGAAAACGAAGGTGGAGCAAATTGCAGGCATGTCCACAGAAGAAACTTACTGACGCAGTAACAATGCTAGATTAAATGACTGGTCGAAACAGACGACCCCATGAACATAAATATATGGCCCTAGAAAGCATGAGAAAAAAGGCATGCCTTTAGCGCGCAATATTCGTGATCGATTTCTCCAAATACTGTGGGCCACTCCATATCTTCGTGCCAACGTCTTTTTCCACCGTCAGGATCTGCGCTGTGCCAAACTACAGCGCGAAGCAACACCTGCAATCTGGAAGTACAAGGAACATTGAGAGCGAGAGAAAAAAATAGAAAATTGAAAAACGTGTCTGAAAAAATGTTTTCGAAAAGCTTTTTTACGTTGGGGATGGACAGGAAGCACCAACGAAGTAAATGCATCGAAAACGAAGATGAAGCAAACTGCAGGCATGCTCATGAAGGAAATACCGACTATCACCGGCAACGCTCCACCCCGATCGCTCTCTGCCTTCACTGCCCCACCCCTAATTACTGTATCTCGCCTACCAATCATGTCGAGCCGAGTTTTAGTAACTATTCGATCTCGCAATCTTCGTCAGAGAAAAAAGTAACCCAAAATTCTACTTCTCGATGGCTATTACTTAAAAATTCTTCGTCAACAGACTGCCCGCTTCAAAATTAACGTATGGCCCTGGAAAATATGAGAAAAACAAACAAGACAAGCCTTTAGTTTGCAGGATTCGCGATCGACTTCACCAAACGCCAGCGGTCTCAGACTGATCGCCATTCGGTTGATTGCCTGCGATTCCCAGCTGAAGAACGCCAGCGGTCTCAAAATTAGCGACATTCGATTCACTGCCAGCGACTCCCAGCTGAAAATATAAAATAAACAAATTAATGCATTTTGTGTGACAGCTTCAGCATACTTTGCAGACTTCCCTCATCCGAACACCCGGACCAGAGGCCAAGCACCTGAAATGATCAGTGCAAAGCCGGGAGAATAATGGCATGGTTGCACGATATCGAATGACCTGGTGAGAATACAAAGAGCGGACGAAAAGGAAGAATGCAAAAAACACATACACATACAGGCAACTTCTTAATAATATGCATTTTTGCATTGCGTAGATGCAAATAATTAGCCAACGCAAGGGCTGTCCGTGAGAAGTTGCGTTTTTTGCATAGCTCCCCGCAGATTTTTGTCGCTAACGGCACTGGTTTTCCGACAGATACTTCTAAGAATTTCAGACTCGCCGTTAGAACTTCTAGGAAGCATCCCTCCAAAATTCAAGCCTTCCAGCTTCTCAGATTCCCGAGTTAGCGATTTACTAGAAGAAAATTTTGACGGGCCTGTACGTGAGTACCTCGCTTACCCGGGAGCCGAGTTTGAGCTTGTTAATACTCACTTGGACGGGGAACATCTCCTTATGATTTCAGCTCTCTAGCTTCTCATATTCCCGAGTAAGCGACTTACCCGGAAAGAATTTCGGCGGGCCCGTACTTGGGTACCACGAGGGTAAGAGCGCCCATTTTGGGGATGGGGGCCCGTATGTGCATGTAGAATAAGTTCCCAAAATTTCA